GGCAGATGTTCAGTATATATTGTAACGCCATCTATGTAATATATATATATTCTTATGCTCGTGACCAATTCACCGATAGTCCCGTAACCAGCCATCGTCGAGGTTTATTGGAGCGTGACGCGAAACAGGTCCCTCTGTCCCTTGCTCGCGAAAAGTTCGGAAATATCAACAGGTGCCGTGCACACGGATCGCTCTCTCGCACGCACCGGATAATCGCGTTCGCCACAATTACTCACTCTCTCGCTCCATTTCGACGCGAGCGCTGGTGAACCGCGCGTGCGCAAAAGAAACGCTTCTCCCGTGATTACGAAACTCCGCTTCCGGGTCAGATAAGCTTCCTTTTATTCGAACCAGTCGCGCGCGACTGATGTATATAAGCAAATTCGAAAGTCATTTCGAAAAATTTATAATCGTTACTTTGCACACTTCGAAGCTAATTTTTCTTTGGTAATTTTTAACAAGATTTTAACAATTTTCTTTCTTTTTTTTTTATTCCTTTAACGATTGTAAAAAAAATCGGGGAGAATTATATATGTATCGATGCTAAAATTAGGAAAATATATATCATAAATTTAGGAGTATAGGATGCGAACGAATAAAATGTATAAAGAAGGGACGAAATGATTTTTTATAAAATAAATAAGAAAGAGTGAAAATCGATCGCTTAAGCTTTAATTTAAAAAAAAATTGGAGTTTGAAAATCCAAGTTATGATTTATCATGTGATATAATTGCATATATCCATATGGATTTTCTTAAAAATTAAATTTCAAATGGAAATTTTTTATTTTATATCTTTTTCTTCATAAAAGATAAGTTTTGTGGTGCTTATATATATATTATATAGGCATATTAGATAGTATATTATAAAAATTCGAAATATTTAAATTATAAAATAATCTGCAACATATAAATTTACACGGTAGGAGAGTACCAATACCGGTTTCAGATATATATTTCATTACTTGTCTACTTTTGCTGAATCAATTATTATTATATTGATTTAAAAGTATATTAAATTAAAATTAAAATAAACTCATAATTTTTCCAGGATATATTTTCTGCTTATACAAGAATTAACACAAATAAAAAGAAAATTAACTTTTCATATTAATAAGCATATATTTTATGAAATTTTTGCAATATAACTAATTCTAAGTTTAATCCATTTAAAAATTTGGATATCTAAGAAGAAATAGATAAAAGAAAAAATAAATTGAATCACTATTTATATATATAAAATATAAAGAGCATCGAAATAATAGGAACACTAATTACAAAGTAAAATGTAAAATAGTATTTTTGTTCATAAAAATTTTTCCTTTTTTAAAAAATAGAATTACTCGATTATCGAGCAAAGATATTATAATTTCACTGGATCATACCGTTTCATTTTTTTTTTTTTGTTTACCTCTCGATAACTTCTCGAAAATAAAACTCTACAACCACTTTCTTCCCAAACAATGTTCCCAAAATGTTTCTTTCATCGTATCGAAAGAATAACAAGAAAAAGAAATCGTTATTAAGAATACACAGCTCACTTTTGTGCACGTGATCTGTCCTTTTACACGTCTTATTGGCCGTTAACACGCGCGAACGAGTGATAGTTGCTCACCGATGAAGAACCATAAGCTTCCAGGAATCAGCGCGGTCTCGCGGCC